CTTTCTTTTTTTTTTTTTTTTTTTTTTTTTGGTACCGGGGATTGAACTCAGGTGCTTGCGCTTGCAAGGCAGGCCACTGAACCGCTGAGCTAAATCCCTGGCCCTCTTCTTTTTCTTTAACTTCATTCTCACTCTGGAGATGGGCATGAATGAGGAATAGATGCTCACGGGTCAAATGCCCTGTCCAGGAGTCCACAGGAAAGCAGGCTCCACCTCTAACCCCATTGCTGTCTCCTAAACGTGCCACACCTTTGCAGCCTGGGACTTGGGTTTTGGGGCACACATCTCCCCTGCCAAGAGGGTGAGGCCCTTTGGACTGGGACTCAGGTGCCAGGCCTCACTGTAGTTGTTTGCTAGACTCAGCCAGAATTTTCAGGAGTAACATGGTCAGAAGGAATGGAGAGCTGCCTCTGCGATCCTCCAGGGGCAGGCCACCATCCTGCATTCCCATGGACAGCTGAGGAACCGCAGACTCTTGTGTCCATTCCAGGGGGCACAGCATGTGTACTGACCGGGCAGCCCTTCGACACGATGAAGGTGAAGATGCAGACGTTCCCTGACCTGTATCGGGGCCTCACTGACTGCTGCCTGAAGACCTATTCGCAGGTTGGGTTCCGTGGCTTCTACAAGGGCACTAGCCCAGCACTGATTGCCAACATCGCTGAGAATTCGGTGCTCTTCATGTGCTATGGCTTCTGCCAGCAGCTGGTGCGGAGAGTGGTGGGACTGGACAGGCAGGCAAAGCTGAGGTGAGTCCGGACCTAGTGCCTTGTGCTTTTTCAAAAATACTAACATTATTGTATGGCTGTGCTTTTAATGATAGCGCATGTGAAGCACATTTTCCTTTTTAAAATAAGTGCCTTCTTTTGGATGATGATGACATAAGCTGTCTTGATATGAACTTTGGAAAAAGGATATGCATTATGCAAAAGAGAGGTGCCCCGGAGCCTGGTTCTGGGAAGGACCCACCCTGGCAGGCTGGTATCTTTGGGAGGACGCCCGTCAAGCGGGCGGAAGTGCTGAACTAAAACTATAGATGCAGTGTGGGACCCAAGTTTTTGGTTTCACTTTATCAGTGCGATTCAGTATTGGAAGAGGTGACCTGAGATAAATAAGGAAGAGGAGTGTGAAACGTTAGGAGGTGATGGAAACATCTGGGAAATGGAGTGAGCCCCCACCCTTTTTTTTTGTCTGAGTCTCTGCTGATCAATGGCTCATGCTTGGTCTTTCCCAGGATATTATATGAGATAAAACTGTTCAGAGACCACTGGTATGTCAACATGCACACCTCAGTTTCCCCACTCTGTGGGACACAGAGTACACACCTCCTCTCCTTTCGGGATCATAATGAGGGCCACACACAGACAGAACATGAGCCAGAGCTTGGCAGACTGTATGCAGCATTCTCTCCTTAAATAATGACCATCCCACCTTAAATGATTTAAAATCATTACATTGGCTTGAGGGTTGCAAAAGGTAGTCTTCTTGATTGAATTGGTAAGAACTAGAAATCCTACTGTGACTGCAGGTCCCACACAACTAATGTAGGCTCCCTGTGTACCAAAACATCCTCTGGAGGCACCTACAGGACTCAGACATGCCCTTATAGAGAGAGACAGCAGTTCTATCGTGGTGGGTGGACCTTGTGTTTTTAGGGCTTGGGACTGCATAAAATGCCCCAAGGAGACAGGATAGGGTAAAGAGGACAGATGAGGTCTGATACTACAACCCCCCAGCACCAGAAGGCAGAAAAGAGAGATGAAGTAGAGATAGAAGTAAGGTGTAAACCCAGAGAGTGTGGCACCCCAGGATGCAGACTGACAGAAGTAAAAGTTTTCTCCCCAGCGGAAGGAGACACATTGTACTTGAGACCTGAGCTTGAGTTCACCCTTGGTCTCCTTAAGGAAGTTCAGCATGGGAGAGAAGCCAGGAAGCAGAGAGCACTTGTGTGAGGTTCTGGTGGAAGAAATTGGTGTTCCTCTCTGAGCATAGCAGCCCCTCCAGCCACAGGGCAGACTTCTCACAGAAGGGGTCTGGCCCTGCCTGCCCCCTTATAACCTCCATTTTAGCCTGTGAAGACTGCAGTCCAAGCATAGTGCTTTTCTGCTGAGAACCACATAGTATGTTACAGCAGTGTTTCCTGTGCCCTGCCTCTAGAAGCCCATGTCGGTGTCCCTGAGAAGGGGCAGGGAACCACCCTGGAGGCAGTTATGTCATGTGGTATATACAGCGTTTTTGTTAACATGCACCTGCCAGATTGACCCACCAGTGGTACATGCGTGATGATTCCATGCTGCCCAGTGGTTCAGAGCTGTCCAGCAGTGAGACATAAATTATGGCCCTGTTGTAAATGGGTTAAAGATGCTTTGAAGTTCTTCAGTGAAGCGACCAGCCTCTTTAACACGATCTAACACAGCACTAGTCTTTTCTGAGCTTCTTTTTCACCCTGAAGAACAGTGTCATCTTTTTAGCTCTTAGGGGAATGTTGTCTGGGGTCTGCCAAGCTCTGCCACGTCACATTGATGTGGCCCTTGCTGTGACCCTGAGACGAGTGAGGCACATGCGTCATCTGTGACTTACCGGTGGGGAGACTGAGGCACACATGTTGACAGCTAATGATTGCCAGGCTCAGCCTATGCCTTCTGGCTCATCCCCGCTCAGTCCTGCTTTCTCTTAGACCACATTTGAGGTTCTGGAATGTTTTGTCGGGGTCTAACCTAGGGAGAGGGTATGTCAAGCACAGTCGAAAGGGAAGAACTGCTTGTGAGAAACTCGTGAGTTTCTGCAATCCACTGCAAATATTTGTCTGTTCCTGGTTTGAACACGACCCAGAGTGGTGCTATGCTGTGACCTTTGGCTGGATGGTGCTTACGCAGTGAGAATGCTCAGATCAATTTTTTTGTGTTTTTTGTTTTGTTTTGTTTTTTTTTTTTTGGCTGAGAAAAGTCAGCTGAGTAGATGACAAACCTTTGGCTCTTTGAAAAACCATCTTATGTCAGTTGCCCTTTCTATTCCAGTCCTATACACTTATACCATACATAGGACCGGGCTTCATTTTGTGTATAGGTAAATGAAAATGTTTGTTAGAAAGCCAAAGTCCACTGCAGACCTCACTTGGCTTTGCCCTTGCACTTTAGTAAGGTGCTTGGCGTTCATTCAGATGTCTGAGCTTTCAGTGCACCGGAGGTTGAGTAGACTTCCACATTTATTGACTGTCACCTTTGTTCTAGCAGCTTGGCAAACCCTGGTAGTGACCCTAATTGACAGTTAACCTGTCAGCAGGTTGACCGAGAGTCCCTTCGGGAAGCCAAATATAGATCTCCAGGCTGACTAGAAGACAGCTGGAACCATTCTAAGCTTTGGTTTTCAACAAATGAGCCAAAAAGGAATGATAGAAGGAGGGAGTGAAGTGAATGGTGCAGGACCGTTTCTACATACCAGGCTAGCTCTTCGCTGTTCACAGCCTTCGGCTTCACTCTCTAGGTGGAAAGGAAGTCTGCACTGCAGCCAGCATCCTCCTCCTGAACGGAAGCCCCACTCTAAGCTGGCTCTTCTGAGACCTGGGGTGAGAGGCCAGTTTAGCCCCTGGATACCCCCTTGTATCTGGCCATTGCACCAAGAGTAGGCCACCAGGAAGTAGGAACCAGGGCCTAGATTGGAGGAGGCCTTGATTGTATGCTTTTTCACACTGGAATGAAATTATTAGGGGATCTCAGTGTAAGGGTAGTCAGCTGAGATGATTCCCCTCAGGGCTTTTGGGAATCTCAGGGTAGTCTTAACTGTCCAGTGACAGCAAGAGGCCAAGACTTTTAATGTATGAGTCAGGGAACCAGATCAGTGGTTTTTGCTCACGTGGGATTGTGCCATCCCAAATTCTGCTGAGCACTTAGAAAACACTGTCTTGGGCCAGAAAGGGTCTTCTTCTCTGGCCCGCATGAACTCTTAGAGGAGCCTTCCTGGCATCCAGAGAATTGTTGCTCAGACTTTGCCCCTATTGAACTCCTATTGGATTCTAGTTTCACAGCCCTGCTGGTGACTGGGTTGGTATACTAAGCCCATATGAGAGAAGGTGACTGCTTCAATTTTTATGTATGTGTGCATTCATCCTTTTGCCTGGATTAGATTTCCAGCTTAACCATTTCACCTAAATCCACTGAGTATTCAGACTTGTACTGACTTCACCAGCTCTGAGGCCTTTTGTCCCCTCCTCTTGCTCTCTGTGTTGCAGAGGCTGAGGAGGTATTTTAGTCCATTTTCTGTACCTCTAACAGAATACTGAGGCTAGGTAACATATAAAGAAAGGAGGTTTGTTTAGCTCACAGTTATGGAGAGTCAAGAACATGGCACTGATATCTGCTTGGCTCTGGAGGGACCTTTTGGCCATATCACAGCGTGGTGGATGGCGTGCTGGTGGGAGTACAGTATGTGTGACAGGGAGAGGTCATAGATGTTATAGGAAGCCAGAGAGATTCAGAGGTGAGGCTTGCTCAGTTTATAACAAACTGCTTTTAAAGGAACTAGCTTAAGTCCTGCCAGATTGACATTAATTCCTATTGAGAGCAGCAGGGACCCCCAATGACCTGACTACCTTCCATTAGGCCTCATCTCGTGAAGGTTCCACTGCCTCAACACTGCCACACTGAGGAGCAAGCTTCCAGCACATGAACTTTTGGGGCACACACTCAAACGATGGCATGAGGTCACTGGCAAAACTCGTGAGACATCATTTTGCAATGTAGGAACCTTTTTTAAAAAAATTATGCTGTTTTCATCTATGATGGTTATGTGCATGTCTGGTTGCTCCAGGTTAGATTTGGGGCAGGAAAAGATGGCTTTAGAACCTAATTTTACTTGAAGCTTAGTGTATAATACACTGAAATATCATTGGTGCATGTTTTGAGTGGTGGGACAATGGGTGATCCTCCCCCCAAGTTGTTCTGGCTTTATTTATAAGTCAGTGTCTGAGGTTGGGCTACTATAACAAAGTAATGTATAGTGCCGAGGCTGAAATAAAACTTCACAGCTCCGGAGGCTGGAAAGCCCAAGATCAAAGTCCTTGCAGATTTGGTGTCTGATAAAGGCCCACTTTGTGATTTATAGATGGTGTTTTCTTACTATGTTTTCACAGTGCAGAGAGAGAAAACTTGTCTAATCCCTTCTTATAAGGGCACTAATACCATGATGAGGGCCTCATTATCAAAATCCTTATCTATACCTAATTGCCTTTCAAGGACCCTTCCTCCAAATAGTATCACCTTGGAGGTTAGATCTTCAGCATACGAATTTCAGAGGGGAGGGACCACAAACATTCAGATTGCGGCACTGTGCCTGAAAAACACAGCATCGATGAGGCAGTCAGACCTGGGTTTGTTTCCTTTCACTGCCACTTAGTAGCCGTGTACTTTGGGCATATTATGTACCTCCCTAAGCATCACTTCTCCGAAAGGAAATTGGGTTATTGCTGGCTCCTCACGGGATCATAGGATCCTTAGATGTGTGTAATAGCACATGCACATTCCCCACACTCCCTTCTGGTGTTGCTGAAAGAACAAATGAACTGATGTTGGCCGTCTTCTCTGCTTGTGCTTCCAGTGACCTGCAGAACGCAGCTGCAGGATCCATTGCCTCTGCCTTTGCAGCGCTGGTGCTGTGCCCCACAGAGCTCGTGAAGTGCCGGCTCCAGGCCATGTTTGAAATGGAGACATCAGGAAAGATAGCCAGAAGCCAGAAGTAAGCACTGTTTAGGCACAAACGTTAGGCCTCTCTTGCCTTTATGTTATATTATGTTTATATTATGTTTTTGATTTTATATTGAGTTAAAACTAAGGAACAGAAACAGATTTGTCTACTCTAAAATATTGTGAGGGCTGGGGATTTGGCTCAGTTGCACCGCACCTGCCTCATAAGCTCGGGGTCCTAAGTTGGATCCATAGTATGGGGGGGGGGTTGCATCTCTCATTCCAGAGTACAATTTTCTGAAATGATCATTGAGTACAGTGAGGATTATACTCAACACTCCATGTGCTATCTGAGGCAGATATTTAACACCCAGAAATGGTGCAGCCTAGAATTTAACATCCCTTTTGTCCCTTGTGTGCCTAGACAATATTTGGAGGCATGTAGTAGGTGGCTTTTGAACTGGATCTGTGCGCTGAGCCTTCCTAAGAACTGACTTGAGTTGTGTGATGAGTATTTGATGCCTCTTCCCAGGTTTCACATGAGTATTCAGGCTCACGACCCCAGATCTTAGTGTTGACTTTGTCTCCTTCCTCTCTGACTCCCCATTTCAAATGTCCCAGCAAAGGCTATGTTCTGAAGACAGTCTTCAAAACCCTTGTCAACCCACAACTGTTCTTCAGTGATCAAATTGCCCTCCAGCTCAGCCCTAAAGTGATTTTCACATATATATGATATACAGTATAACTGATTTGAATTAAAAAGCAATTCGGTATCTTACTAATCACAAAACTTATTTATCTTAACATCTGGCTGGCTAATGTTCTAGTCAAAGAGGCTGCTGTGGTTAATTTAAAGCCTGTGAGTCTGCTGGGAAAGCTGGTAGACTGACCATTTTCATTTCTGAATCTCTTCCCAGGCAGAGTAGGCTTTGTAGTAGTGCCTGTTTTCTGCACCTTTGAGATTCATTCCACTCTGTTGTATCTATTCTTCATTACTTAAATAGAAGTCCAAAAATGAAAGCCTTGAAAACTTTTTATTTAAATGTAACATACACCAGTGTCATGAATACACACACAAATCATAAGTGTGCAATACTGTAAATAGTCACAGAATGAAGACGCTTTGTAACCAGTTCCTGGATTAAGAAATAGAGTAAAACATTAACATCACCCCGAAAGCTACCTTCATATGCCTTAGAAGCAGTTTAAGGTAATTTAAAGACAGAACTTAGAGGAACATTTTACAAAAAAGAAATACTGGTTGGCTTAGTATTTGAGGTATACATGTCAGTGTATATGATATCGGGCTGGGCAGGCTGTACAGCATGTTGCATTTGTGTGTGAAATGGGAACAGTGCTATCCAAGGGTACAGCCAAAGAATGCCTGGTGGAGCCTTCTGAAGCTCAGGAAGATCATCACTTATCACTTGTGGTCTTTGTTACCATAGGACTTAATCCTCCTTCTGTCCAAACTGACTCGCCTGCTCTCTGAGAACAAGGTGAGGAGAAGGAATTCATTAGGTTGCACTGGGTGTGTGATTTATCTCCCTGTTCACCATGGACATAAAAACCTGTCATGCACACCATCGTGAAAGAAGGTCTGCGGTCCACAAGTATGCTGTGTTCCTGCTATTCCAGGAGCAGGGCTCTGATCTGTTTAAAAGGAGCTCCCCTGCACCTCTGCTCTCTAGGGACTCAGTTCTGGATGATTTTTGCACAGTAGGAGCTTAGCTCAGCTCTCAGAATTTGTGCCTTTAAGTAACACTCCTCGGCTCATGTTGCTGCCATCAAACAAAACAGCATGCAGACACCTGAACAGAGCCTCCTAAAACACACCAAAGAATGAAGAAACAGGAATCGGAGGGAGATAAGAGACTTGTAAAACCACCTTCTTGCTGAGTTTGGATGACTCTTTATTGTAATTTCAGATTTTACTTATTTACTATGAAAAAGAAAACATGGTCATAGCTCTTTTTGCATCTTGGATACTGGGACTTCTAGAAATGTGTGAATTCATTTAATAAAATTTTCTTAATAACTTATGTAATCAAATGTATTATAAAATACTGTTGCTTCTGAGATTTTTCTTTCCTACCAAAGGATGCCTTTTATTAGAATTCCTGGTTCCTGTTTACAAAACTGATTGCTCCTTTATTTGTGCTTGATCAAGTCTGTTAGTTGAATGTGAATCCCCTTGTCCTCTTCCTTCCCTCCCTGTACTAACCTTATCTCTCACTCTGTGTCTTCTCCCAGTACAGTTTGGTCTGTCGTGAAAAGTATCCTTAGGAAGGATGGCCCCTTGGGCTTCTACCATGGACTCTCAAGCACTTTACTTCGGGAAGTACCTGGCTATTTCTTGTTCTTTGGGGGCTATGAACTAAGCCGATCATTTTTTGCATCAGGGAGATCAAAAGATGAACTAGGTAAATATGTTTGCCTGGGCAGCATTTGGGTATGATAGTATCTCCTTTCTGATGGTGTGATTTCTGTGCATTATCTTTTCTGTACTCTCCCTGTGGGGGTCTGCTCAACACTGGGAAGTTTCTAGATGCTAGAAAGCAATGTGGTGGCAGGAGATTGCCAGCACCCTTCCCCCAGGCTTGTCCCCTCAGGACAGTGGCTGAAGCAATGTATCCAATCTACTTTACTGGAATGACATTTATTAATTGTTCTGGATTCACTTTTGAGAAATGCAGAAATTACTTTGCCCATTGAGGAATCCACCTATAAATCTTGCACTAAGCTTCAAATATGGTAATAAGTCTTGACAGTGTTTTGAGAGCAGTGAAAAGCATAGGTCTAACTTGTCTCATTCAGCTGCTTGACACAATTTTAAGAATGTTGACTCACACAAGTGAGATTTAAGCATTTCACTTCAGAGTGTTGGATCTATTATGCAGTTAATCAAGCTCCCACGCTTAACTGGTGTTAATAAGACAGTTTTAGTTTTTCATGGTAAAGGAAGAATTGGGGCTTTTAGGCCGTTAAAATATTGACTTCAAGGTGGGAAGGCTGAAAAAGATGTGAACTGTTTCTGTGGCCCCGCCTCATTCCCTGAGGCGAGGCCCTCCATGCTGTGTGGGCCTGCTGTTCTGTGCGGACTAGTCCTTAGCAGACCAGGGGCAGCAGCCTAAACACGCTGGCTGCCACAGGGAACCATGTATTCTTGGCTTTGACAGTTTTCTCAAAGCGCACCGTATTCTGTAGCATTAGCATTTTGGTTTTTAATCTAGCTGTGGCCACTGAGTTTTAGAAATACAACAGCAGCTGTTTTTGAGATAAAACATCATTTGCTATTTTTCTTCTCTAGGCCCTGTCCCTCTGATGTTAAGTGGTGGAGTTGGTGGAATTTGCTTGTGGCTTGCTGTATACCCAGTGGATTGTATCAAATCCAGAATTCAGGTTCTTTCTATGTCTGGAAAACAGGCAGGATTTATTGGAACCTTTCTAAGTGTTGTGAGAAATGAAGGTGAGTCTGCTAATTGCAGAAACAGAGTAGGTGTGTACAGATAGGTCATTTTACACTTGTCTTATCTGAGGTTTGATTAGATATGTAATTGCTCTCTTCTCCCTACCTCATATCCTTTTTCTAGCACTGAATGTTAATACACATTTGTAACTTTGTTAGGCCCTTGACTTACCTTATTTCCATTCTAAAGATTTTATTTTTTTGAGACAGAGTCTCACTATGTAGTCCAGACTGGCCTTGAACTCAAAGTGATTTTCCTGTCTCAGCCATCCTAGTGCTGGGATTACAAGAGTATGCTGTCATGCTATCAAGGCTCTCAGAAATCTTTAAAGTTCATTTCTCTAACCCTCATGCCAGATACCTGTCAGGATTCTTTGTTCTAAATAGGCTGAGGGGAATTTTTAAGATGTGGACTCAGTCTGAGGATGTATGTGATTTGAACTTCACACCACTTGTTCTAGAGAATATAGCCATTATCAGAGCATGATCTCTAACAGGACCACATTCGGGCTTTAAAAGAATATATAACAGCCGGGTGTGGTGGCGCATGCCTATAATCCCAGCACTTGGGAGACTGAGGCAGGAGGATTGCTGTGAATTTCAGACCAGTGTGACCCTGTCTCAAAAAAAACAAAAAAACAAAACAAAACAAAAAAATATATAACAGTCATAATGCTAAGTTTCTGGAATCAGAAATGGACTGAGTAACTTTTGACAGTGATTGGCTACAGCTTTTAGAGGTATGTAGGAGGTTAAAGACTAAGTAATTGTGTAAATCTGACATAATGAAACCTGTCCTTTCTGTATTCACTATACTTGTTAAAAATTGATGAATTTCTGTTTTGATTTTTTTTTTCTTTTTTTTTTTTGGTACCGGGGATTGAACTCCTCAGGTCTTTGTGCTTGCAAGGCAGGCCACCAAACCGCTGAGCTAAATCCCCTGCCTGTTTTGATTTTTTTTTTAAAAAGAGCACAACACAGAAACAACTTTAATTCATGTCCCAAGTATAGCACAGATATCTTCTACATTATCAATAATGACTTCCCTTTAAACTCACATGATGCTTTATAGTTTTGCAAAGTATGCCCGCCCCCACACCATCCAATTCAGTATTCATAGCCGTGCTGGGTGGTGCTAATACAGGAAAAGGGCCTCTGACTTTCGTGTAGGTGCTCTTGCTGTTGGCTTCAGCCTTATGGGCCTCTGGCTGGCTGGTTCAGGCCTCAGCTGTACCCCATCCATATTCTATTAACCAGGCACAGAATAGGTGTATATAGCAAGCAGCTTTGCCAGGAGACCTGAACTTGTTTGTGCAAGTCTGTTTAGGAAAGTGGAAGTTAGTGCCTCCATCACCTCTTCAGTTTTAGTGCTATTGTTTGGATATGTAAGTACAAATATTCCTATTCTGTGCAGCTGCATGGGTATTCCCAAGGATGGGTCATCAGTCTGTTTGCCCTTTTGTTTTCTAGGAATAGCAGCTTTATATTCTGGACTGAAACCTACACTGATTCGAGCCTTCCCTGCCAATGGCTCGCTGTTTTTGGCCTATGAATACAGCAGGAAGTTGATGATGAGCCAGATGGAAGCATTCTGAAGTGCCTGGTGGGCCTGCCTCCAAAGCATAGGTGTATGAGGACTACTGATCATCTCAGGGTTTCATGGAGTACAAGAACAACATGGAATTGTTTTGATTTATTGGAAATTTTCTCCTTATCTTCCCTTCTGCCCTAAACCATAAACTTGATGAAAGCACTTCTGTTTTACGTCACACAGTTTCTGGCCATAATTGAAAGGGAAAAGTTGCTGCTCTGGCCCTTGCTATAATATGCCAGATGGCTTGTGGTCATGTGCACTTAACTTGAGAGGCTGCATGTGGTTTTGTTGGGGCACTGTTTATGCATAAAACCGTGTATACATGCAGTTTGGATATTTATGTATGGAGGGAAACACAGTTTGGTGCCATGATTAACCTCAAATATTACCAGAAAACCCAAAGGCAACTTTGTGTATATGTGAAAATGGTTATAAATGATCGTTTAACCAATTCTAGGTGTAGTAAAAGTCTACTGAACCTATGTACTAAGAGGTTAAAGGTTTTTAAGGGGTACTTGGAAACTAAAGTATTCATGTAGCTTTTTAAGAAAATAGGCCAGCATACTGGTGTGGCTTCTGCATTCCTGACAAAGTTTCAGAGTGGCTGCCATTGTGGATTTTTTTTCATGATGCTTTCCTATTAGTGCCATTCGTTTTCTAGGTGGGCTTGTATTCTGCATTCTGACTGTACTGCTAGATGTGGTCCAAACCATCAGGCCTTTGGGAAGCAGTATAGCTCTTACCAGCTTCCTCCCTCCCCTTCTCCCAAAGAGCTTCCCCTGAGCTGGGCTGTAGATAAAGGATAGGCCGATGGGATGGCTGTGCTACTGGGCTGTGATGAAGATCCATGTGGCTCATAGCAACTCTTACCTATTTCCATCTCTTTGTCCCGACCTGGATAGATTTGCAGTCCATCCACTTTGGAATACTCGTAGTCCACCTGTCCTACTTTGCTTTTACCAATTGGGAGCTTTGTCAAAGGGGAGAGAGGGCCAAAGCCATGAGAAGCCTTTGCTCCCTGTTTGGTGATCTAATAATAATAGTCATAGGTGCAGCCTTCTTCTCTCAAACAAAGCAGCAACAGCACTTATAGTTCACAGTAAACCAGCCTCACCTATCCTGAAGTTTACCTCAGGATCCATAACTCCCTGCCATGCATATTGGTGCCTTCGGCACTTCAGGCTGGCAGGCAGTCCTGAATTTTAACAGCTTTAGATGGGTATGCCTTTATAAAGCAGGGGAGCATAAGAAAAGTAATTTTATTAAGCTAGGTGTGTGTGTTCCTAGCCAAGAAAAAAAGTCCCACTGGAGATCTGATCCACATGGATTTGGGGTGGACAACAGTACTTTGGCTGTGGAGTTACTGTCAGGATTCAGTCCTGTCACCACTAAAGTGGCCTCCTCATTCTCTTCTGCTCCAAGACCAGCAGGGTCTCAATAATCAGTGTTCTTAAGAGGTCTGAAAAGCCAAAAGCAAGCAGGCTGAGGATGTTAATGGATCCTTACCTTGTATGTCTGTCCCTGTGGACAGAATGTCAACTCTGGGTGAAGCCTCTAGTCTCCTTAAGCTTCCTGCTACTTGCCAAGCCTCTGGCAACCTTAGCCATTGTGTCAGGAGCTGGAGGGTCAGGGAAGCAAGGTGCATGCTGCCAAATGTGGGGTGCTGAGAGCTATGGACTTTGGGGCAAGGCTGCTTGTCATGCTATAGCTGGCCCTGATTACCCCCACCCACTTTTTTATGGTACTGCAGATGGAACCCAGGGCCTTCGCGTTGTTACATCCCCTGCTCTTTGTCTTTTTATTTTGAAATAGGGTCTCATTAAAACACTGAGTTGCCCAAGCTAGGTTCAAGCTTGCAGTTTTCCTGCCTCAGCTTTCCAGAATCTCCATTTACTTTTTCTTTACAGAAAATCATTTTTATACTTTACTTTTCTCTCCATATTTAAATGGTCAGTAGCTGCTAAGCAGTGCTTCAACTGAACAAGCCTGGTTTGAAGTAAAATACAGAAAATGGGACTGACTGGCTGCCAGCAGGAAGGGAGCTGCTTAGAGTCCTTGATCCCCCTTCATGGTACCCAGGGGCTGGTCCCGGGTGGGGCAGTTGGCAGATCTTTTCACAGATTGTCCATTAAAGATTTAGCTATCTTCAGGAGAAATAGTCTGAAGCGAGTGAAGTGAGGAACGCAAAGACGAGCAATTCTTTTTCATTCTGCCTGGTTAATTTGTGGTTCAATATTTGTATACAATTCATACCATTTCAGATCTGTACTCCAGACAAAAATATAACTTGAAATATTGTGTTTAAAGAAATTTGAGTCTTATATTATCATTAAATTATTTACCTAATGTGAGTCTGTGGTGAGTTTTATTTAAGTATTTTATATCTATGCTAAGAACCAATAATAAAAACGTGTTATTCTAATATTTCAAGGTGGTAATTTTACTACAACCATTTTTCACCAAGGTTCTGGATGTAAAATAATTTCACTGTAGGCAAGTTGGCAAAAATGTTGTTGTTCACATACACTGCAGTTATGTGATTACTGTATAGAATTTCTAATTCTACCTCTCATTCTGTTGTTAAAAATAAAAATTTGAATGGTTTTATTTCAAGTAAGTAAATTCTAAGGAAACCAGTACCATTCTGATAGAGTGTAAATTTCTGAATTTGTTCAAAAAATTAGTTACTTTGGGTTCTAAGGAAGCAACACCCCAAGAAGCCTGAACAAGTTTACAGAGCAAAAAAGGTACAGTGTGGCAACTCACAACTGCCAGAAACTTTGATGATTCTTGGAGAGTGAGGAGGGAAAAAGCCTCAATTACCACCTTACTTCTGAAATTAAGATTCTTAATTGGAGTCTCCTTCCCTCCTTACTACTACTATTGAAAAACTTTCCTGGGTCAAGTCAGCTAAATATTTTTTCCCCCTATTTGCCTAAACCTGTTACATAATCTTCCCACTGGATGACAGCTAATATATGCAACCTGTTCTGCCACAAGACATTTTTGTAATTCTAATTACAGAATTAATTATGTTAACAATTGTTAACAAGCTTGAAAGTATGGTCTATGGTCTTTCTTCAAGAGGAGCCAGATTAAGGAGAAGAAAGGAAAAGCTTTTAGCTGGGCTGTTGCATTGGCCATTGGAACCCTTTTTAGGAATTTAGAGGCAGGAGAAAAGGAGCCGCCAGGCTGCCCAGCAGCTTTGCAGATTCTTTGCTGGTGCTTGTTGCTGGTCTTCTATGCCCGCCATGGCTCAGGGCTTAAATTCCCATCTGTAACTACTTTGGCATCCACAGCCCTTCTCCATGGTCCTGTTTCCACTCAAAGCCCAACATCATGGCAACTTCCAGACTCCTGAGGGACTGACAGTGTGGTCCCAACAGGTTAGTGTGCTGGTAAGAAAGTTGCTTGATTGGAGTGCTGTACCAAGCCTCCCAACCCCTTCTTTATTTTCATGATTTTTGTTTTTTTTTTTAGTGTGTGACTTTTGCAGAGTTCAGGATCTATGAGGAATGAGTTATTGCCCCACATAATGATCCTTTCAATGAAGGGCCATATACCATGGTGGTTCTGTAAGATTATATTGTCTACTGACTGTGCAGCTGTCAGTTTATGCATTACTCCTGTGTTTTAGCAGAGACATAGGTTTTATTAGTTGCTACTTTTCATTTTCTCATAAATTCAGTTTGGTCCAGATTGTTGAGAGCCATACCAAAAAAGAAAAATTCAAATAAGGGTAATTTCAATAAAGCCAAAATAGAACTCTTCATGGCCTTAAGAGACAGTGACAGAGGAAGTATTTAGGATAAAGTAGCACTCAGTACCAAAGAGAATATTAATGATCTCTGTTGGATCACACTGGTCAGCAGCTAATGGTGTTATACAAAAGCAGAAGTCACTGAGGATTTTTTTATCTTTTATGTTTACCAAGATCCTGTGTGTGTGTAATTTTTTAAGTTTAATTTTTATTAGTACATGTTTGCAGTATGTAATGATTACATTCATTGTGAGGCAATGGTACATGTGCATAACATTTCAATTCTGTGTATGTGTAATTACAGATCGTGTATCATAAGCAAGCTATGTGTGGTACTTAAAACAAGTGTGCTGAGGATGAGGGACTGGTGAGTGAAATATTTTTCTTCTCTAGGTTTAAAACTGCTGCCAATCTGATACATGTTAACATTTGGTGAAAATATGTTAGTTTCCTAATAAATCTGAAATTACAAACATAAAAGAAGGGAACAAGCATTTATCCAAAATACGTAAGTACATGGATCCTGATAAGATCACATTTTCTTTTGGAGAGAGAGTTTCACTAGTTGCACAGGCTGGCCTCAAACTCCATCTTTCCACCTCTGCATTCTCAGTAGCTAGAATAACAGGAAAGTGCCAAGAATCATACTATTAAAATAGCTCAGTTGTTTTGAGATGAAAAGTCTGTTATTTATAAGCTCTTAAAATGATACCTAATATTGCAGTGTACTGTGTGTTCCAGATTTATCAAAATATAAGACAAATTTTGTGTTAAGTACAGTATAGTCTTTCAAAAACGATGCTGCTGCCCTGTCTCAAAAAACAAAAAAGAAATCACTATTGACATTTTATCTCTGTATATTTAATAGTGTTATCAGAAACAAATGCACATATATACGTATAAATATAGCTATGCCAGCAAAGACTTAGAAGACATAAAGTATGTAGCAGGGATCAGGGAAGACATGATTCTGTCTGAGAATGGGAGGTGCACTTTAATCATATTCCAGCTACAGAATGACTGGTTCATTTTCATCAAAATATACCTCTATTGCAAATCCTGGACTGTAAATTTTCCATGTTTTTGGTTTATGGAGATTGTCCAGTTCATTTCTTGGTAGATAAAGCCTAAGGATAGAAAGGAGATATTCCATTTTACATTAATTAACTAATGAATAGTGCTGCTGGGGATCAAACCCAGGGCCTTCACATGGAGCTGTATGTATCCTGGGCCCTTTTATTCTTTTAAATTTTGAGACAAGGTCTTCTAATTTGTCCTGGCTGGGATTGAACATGTGATTCTCCTATACAGTCTTCTAGAGTGCTGGGATTACAGGTGTGTACCAGCATGCCCAGTTCACATTTTATTTGAGAGCTAATAGAAAAACCATATGTTAGGGCAGCCTTGTTGGAACTTTAGAAAAAGACTTGCTCACCATAATTAGGACCTCAGCCCTTTTAGTGTATGTTTGTTGGCTCCTCCTACCTCTGTAAAGAGACACAAAATACCTTAATCTTCAGTAACAATCACAACAGTGACAGCATGTTACAGATTCTTTTAACATTGCCACTCATGGAATCAGCAATGTTCAGATTTCATAAATCTAAATTTTTATAAGTGATAGAAATCAGCCAGACTAGATGTATAATAAAGCCTAGTAATAAAATACTGTTTCTCTTTTAAATGATGGAGTTGATATTTTTTACTAAACACCAATCTCATGACTTTACCTAGCAATATGTGAAATTAAATGCTACAAACATCTGTAGAAATATATGAAAGTAAGAATAAAAATGATCTAATGTGAGGCCGGGCGTGGTGGTGCCCGCCTATAATCCCAGCACTTGGGAGGCTGAGTCAGGAGGATCACTGAGTTTGAGACTACCCTGTGCTACATAGTGAGTTCCAAGTCAGTCTCAACTACATAGTGAGAACCTGTCTCAAAAAACCAAAAAAAAAAAAAAAAAAG